TCCCCTAGAAGTCTTCTGAGTCCTGGGATCGATCAATGGTTTCTTGACTCTCAGGGACTGAGGCACAGCCCAACCACTTTCCTTGCCCTACTTATGGGAACCCCCACAGTTTTGGGGGCAGGAGGACAGAAGTTCTTTTTTTTATTATTTTAAAGATTTTATTTATTTATTCATAGAGACACACACAGAGAGAGAGAAAGAGAGAGAGAGAGACACAGGCAGAGGGAGAAGCAGGCTCCATGCAGGGAGCCCGACGTGGGACTCGATCCCGGGTCTCCAGGATCACGCCCCGGGCTGCAGACGGCACCAAACCGCTGCGCCAGCGGGGAAGGACAGAAGTTCTTAGTCAGGATTCAGTCAGGCACAGATCTGGGGGACAGACTGCCCAGATCTCCAGGAGGAATGGACTGAAGACACGGTGAGACTTCTGAGAAAACTCACCAGAAGTGGAAGGATCCTGTTAGAGGGACCACTGTAAGCCTAAGGAAGGTGGTGAAACAAGTTCAGCAGAATATTGTTTGTGATATCCCTGAATTCAGCAGCACCACCCCCATGTCTAGGTGTTCTGGGATTGAGAGCACAAGGAAACAAACTGTCATAGGAATTCTCTTTGTAGAGATGGTCACAAGGAATAGAAGTTGTTTTTCCACACACCAGGGGGGAAGATAAATATAGAAGGACATGGTTCAGAGGAAGGGATAGTGTCATGGTGGGGCTCCGGGAATGGTATGAAAGTCAGCAGCAAACCAAAAGAAGCCACCCAACACTAGAGCAGAAGAATTGCCATGGAATCTCTGGTTTTATGTACAGAATATTCTATCCCTGATGTATCCCCACCCTTACCATGCCCAGGTCAAGATGTCTATGGAAATAATCAGGAGTAGACTTTACAGCAAAACCAGGCATAGATTACGAGATTTTGCCTTTTTCCATAATTATGAATCACCATTACCCTTCTTCCTTCTTTCTCTCCTCTCTCTTTCATCCTTGCTTGCTTCCCTTTGTCTTCCTCCTTCCCTCTTTCCCCCCCCTTTTTTTTTTAAGATTTTACTTATTTATTCATGAGAGACACAGATATAGAGGCAGAGACAGAGGCAGAGGGAGAAGCAGGCTCCCCACAGGGAGCCCAATGTCGGACTTCACCCCAACCCAAGGATCATGCCCCAAACCAAAGGCAGATCCTCAACCGCTGAGCCACCCAAGGCGTCCCCTCTTTCCTCTTCTCTCTCTTTCACTGTTTCCCCTTCTTCTTCTGTCTTCTCTTTGATTTTCATCCCTCTTCCTCCTTTCCCCTCCATACTCTCTCCTTTTTTTTTCTTCCTCTCTCTTCCCTTTCTCCAAGCAAACATCAACGGCATAGGCATATTCTGATGTTGCTGGTTTTTTGCTAGCAGACATAAATGGAAGGCAGAAGCCTGCATCTTTATCTCTTACAGCTATCAGCCCCAGGGGGCCTTGCTCATGAATTATCTATTGCAATACAATGGGGTTTACACTGCCATAGAGGCGTTGACAAAGTCCCTAGGAGGAGGAAAAAAAAATAAAACAGTGCTTCTGGATTTGAGTCTTGAAAAGATGAACAGAAATTAGGCAAGTGGAGAAGGGGATAGGGATTGAGGCCCAGGGCATTTCCCAGAAAGGGCACAGCATATAAGAGAGGCCTGGATTTGCCTGGGCTTTGTGATTCTGGATTTTTAAAGTCTTTTTTTATTATTATGGATTATATCAAATCTACCAGTCTATGAATAGAAATTAAGTCCTTATGCAGTGTTATATGCTGTAATATTTTTTCAAATAAATCTGTCCTTTAAAAAAAAATCAGGGACACCTGAGTAGTTTAGTGAGTTAAGCATCTGCCTTCAGCTCAGGTCATGGTCCCAGGGTCTGGGATGGGCGGCATGGGGGTGAGGTTCACGTTAAGCAGAGAGTCCCCTTGTCCCTTTCCCTCTGCCCCTCATTCCCCCTTGTGTGCTCTCTTTCTCTCTCTCTCAAATAAATAATAAATAAAACCTTTAAAAAAATCCATCAAAGTCTGAAATCTTGGGGAACCACAGGTGGAGCAAGTAGATGTAGCCTCTCAGTGTCTTCTTTGAATCTCACAAATGGCATCCAGGTTCAGTGATCTTGACAACCATTGTGGAATTAGATTTTTGCCATGTGGGACGATCCCAGACCATGTGGGTTCACTGGTCTTATGTTCCTAGCCTTGTCATAGGTCAGAAACAGGTTGTTTCTCTCTCTCTCTCTCTCTCTCTCTCTCTCTCTCTCTTTTTCAGAGAGGGAAAGAGACCATGAGCGGGGGCGGGGGGGGCAGAGGGAGAGGGAGAGGGAGAAGCAGACTCCCCGTTGAATGTAGACCCCACCCCCCATGCTGCCCATCCCAGGACCCTGAGGTCTGTACCTGAGCCAAAGTCAGATGCTTAAATGACTGAGCCACCCAGGCAGCCTCAGATTGTTCTATTTTTAGCAAAAAAGTTTTGCTACTTGGAGAGTTATATTCCCCCTTCAAAATGTCTGGGTTCTGGACCTTGAAATCTCACCAGTGCACTATCTCCTTACGTGTAGGTGGCTGCAAGTATTTTCCACTTTTGACCATTTGGGGGATTCCTGTGGGTAGTCTGGCCAATGGACCACTGCCACTCAAGAGTGGTACTCACAGTGTGGTGTGGGGGCTGGTACTGGTCCATGTTTGTTATAGGTCTGCAATGAGATAAGTACAAAAAATGAATGTTTAGGAGGTTTTACAGAAGTTTAATATTGATGTGATATTCAAGCACATGATTAGTTTATTTTTTCCATTTTATAAGAGTACTGGCTTAAAAAAAAAGAATGTTGGCTTGTGAGAGATTACAAATTTTATTAACAACAAAACAAAGCCAAAGCTTCACTACAGATGGTGGTGGTACTGGTCTAGAAAGCAACCATTCAGAACCACGGACAGCACCTCTGCTTCCCAAGCCTGAATCCTCACTTTTCTGCCTCTGCTCCCAACTCTGGCTAAATCAACTGATTGACTACCAAACCCAACAGATGCTTTTCAGCTCTTGTCTTATTTGACCTCTCTAAAGCATGACTTTTGTTAATATATGAATTTGTCATGTTTGTTTAATTATCTTCCTCGTAAATAAAAAACACTGTCTTAGGATTTCCAATGAGCCACACCACTAAAATGAGGGGACAATTCTCATATCAGTCTTAAAACACCGTATTGACATTGCTTTTTTGCTTTCAGTGGGTTCCTAGAGACCAGGAGATAGGTCTAATTAATTTTCATTAATTAATGTGTCAGATGCCTGGACGTCCAACATGTGTCAGATGCTTGGACCAGAGTCTGTGTCAGCAAATGCCTGCCACTTATCAGCTGGATGATCTTGGGCAAGATCAACTTTGCCACTTTTTCCTAGCTATTAAACTGGAATAGCATTACAGTCTACCTAATAATTTTTAAAGATTAATTCGGTTAGTGAGTTTAACAGTGATGAGAGCAGTGCTTGGCACAAACGAATAAAAAGGATCATCACTGGGGCACCAGTCTGGCTCAATTGGAAGAGCATGCAACTCTTGATCTTGGGGTCATGAGTTAGAGCCCCATATTGGGTACAGACATTACTTAAATAAGTAAAATCTTATTTAAAAAGGACCATCATCGGGGATCCCTAGGTGGCTCAGCAGTTGAGCGCCTGCCTTCAGCCCAGGACATGATCCTGGAGTCCCAGAATAGAGTCCCACATTGGGCTCCCCGCATGGAGCCTGCTTCTCCCTCTGCCTGTGTCTCCCATGAATAAATAAATAAAATCTTAAAAAAAAAAAAGGAGCATCATCACAGGTTGCTGAATAAACTAATGAGCATGTCTTATCACCAGGCACTAGGAGGTGGAAGACTTCATTCCACTACTTGGGTTGGGCTACAGCTTTCTTTTTTTTTTTTTTTCTTTTTTATTTATTTATGATAGTCACAGAGAGAGAGAGAGAGAGGCAGAGACACAGGCAGAGGGAGAAGCAGGCTCCATGCACCGGGAGCCTGACGTGGGATTCGATCCCGGGTCTCCAGGATCGCGCCCCGGGCCAAAGGCAGGCGCCAAACCGCTGCGCCACCCAAGGATCCCTGGGCTACAGCTTTCTATTGATATGTTTAGGTCTACACTGTTCTACTCAGGGCACTGTGTGCTTTGGAATTCTAGAGATTTGCCTTTTCTGGGTCCCCATTTTGTCATGTTGGCTCCACTCTCCCACCCCTTTCAGTTGTGCATCCCTATCCTTTACCAGTGGCTTTCCTGCCATCTTCTCTCCCCTCCAGGCTCACCCACAACTTCTTTTTAGTCTTTAGTGCAGAGAAAAGTACACTAGATGACGGACTCCCCTGTTCAAGCAGGCCTGGCACCTCCTGTGCCCTCAGATTAGGCCGAATTACCTCCACCCTCTAAGTTCCTATAGCTTTTCTTCCCCTAGTTCCTTAACTCGCCTATTGGCTGTTAGCCAATCCTAGGTCCCCCTACCTAAATTATTCTTGTCCCCCACTGCGCAGGGAGATTTTAACCATCCTTCAAGGCTGGGGTCAAATCTACCTCTTCCATGAAAACCGCGACATTTCCACCCTGCCCTTCCTGAATTACTGCTTCAGAGTCAACCCCACGGGGCTTCCCATTCCATTTCTCCAGGTCTCCAGGTCCTCCCCAATCAATTCTTAGGTCTTCGATGTTCAAGTCCAGGTCATACATTTCCCATTAATCGCGCATCCTTTCAGCACACATCTTGAGTGACTGCCCTGCAAGTCGCAGAGGGCAAACCCTCTTCTCCCTCTGAGGCTGTGACCCCAATCAGCAAGATGGGCTTACAACACCTACGCCTCCCCAAGTTCCCGCGCGGAATGAGAGCCATAGGGCGGAGAGCGCTCTAGAACCTGGCGGGGATTGGGTGGAGGGCTCGCCTGGCCCCCCGCCGGCGAGGGCAGGCGGGAATGCGCCGTGGCTCCTGGGAGTTGTAGTCCACGCGTGAGCTCGCAGTCTCCGCAGCCTACGCGCGGAGACCGGTGGACTCGCCTGGGAAAGTGGCGGGGGCCTGCCGGGCTCGAGGAGCTGGGCCCAGGGCTCGCCCTGGGCGGGAATGGGGCAGAGCTCAGGCAACCGGTATGGCCCTGCCGCTGCTGCTGGGGCAGCTGCTGGCGCTCATGGGCCACGGGGGCGCGTTCTACCTCGAGGTCCGCGAGCTGGAAGAGAAGTGCTTCATCCAGGAGATCCCCGATGGTACCGTGGTCATAGGTGCGCGCGCCGGCCACTCCCGGCCTTGCCCTCCCTGCACCCAGAGTCCTGAGAGGGGACGGAACGGGGCGCCGTGGCACCAGCTTAGGCCCGTGCCTTCCCTTCCCTGCTGCGGGGTGGGGCGTGGGCTGGGGCCGGGGAGAAATGAGTGGACAGCAGTCTCGCCAAGGCATCCTCTCTTTTGCGTGTGCCGGGGCTGGGGGAGGGGCGCCGAGGAGAGGAGGCACGTCTGATTCAGACGCGATTGATGGCAGAGAAGTGGGGCTTGAGAGGGGAGGAGAAGGCAGAGGCCCGTGGTCAGGCCCCTCAGACTCGAGATCCTTCTGTTCCTCCCCCGACCACCACGACTCGGTCATGGGAATGGATGGGAATACACCTCCGTTGCCTCTCCATTAGGTAATTACAAGACGGAGCTTTACGACCCTGCTATGGAAAAGTATCAGCCCTCCCCACAGTGGATCAATTTGTTCGTGTTTGTGAAGGACCCCGAGAACAAGGTGAGGCAGGCCGTTACCCCTTGCAGCCCCCCCCAAGGCCACGGGTCAAAGCATAGCCCTCTCTAATCCTTTATTTCTCACGGAAGGATAGGTCTCCTCACAGGCAGGTAGCTCAAGGAGGGCCATGCTCTTTGCAATCTGTATTCTGTACTGGCAATGCTGGCATTTGAGACTTTATGGCCAAACCCATGCCATTTCCCTCATACTGACCCCTCTAGCCTGTGGGGGTCTGCACCTGGGATACTCTCAGAATTCTCCCAGAAGCAGGTACATGGCTAACTTCTCTGTGCTCACTGGGGGCTGCTTGCTCTAGAATCTTCTGGCCCGGCAGTATGGCCCTCAGGGCAGCTTCACCTTCACCTCCCAGTCTCCAGGAGAGCACCAGATCTGTCTCCACCTTGAGTCCATCCGATTCGCCCTCTTCTATGATGGCAAGCTGGTGAGTGTGGCAGGGGGTGCTCCACCATCCCCAGGGGCTCAATTTCTCAGCCTCTAGAATAAGAAGGGTGCAGGGCATGCTGCCTATTGAGTTGGGCTGGGACTTTACCTGAAGTGAGCATACCAAGAACAGCTCCTGAGGACGAAAGGGGATCTTGGGAGGGAGTCACTTGGACTTAAAGCCCTCCCTTGGCTCCCAGCCATCCCTAGGATAAAGACCAAACTTCATAAGGTGAAGTTCAGAGCTATTCTGCATCTGAGTCCTTCAGGGCTCTCCATTGTCACCTTCCAATACAGAACTTCTAGTAAACTGCCTGTTTCAGAGTCATACCTCTATTTCTCTGCACATGTCCCATCCTTTGTGTATGAATATAGAATTTCACACAAGTAGGGTCCTGATCATCTAGAGCAGGGCCAGTCACTAAGTCGGGGTGTGAGGAATGGAACTGCCAGTGTCAGGCCCAGAGTGGGATGGAGGACTAGATTTCAGGCAGGTTCATGGAGCTAAGCTCTCTGACCCCCATCCTGATTCCCCTGTTCCAGGCCATTCACTTGGATATGCAGTTAGGTGAACACACCAATGATTATGTGGAATTTGCAGCCAAGGACAAGCTGACCCAGCTGCATCTGCGTGTACAGCAGCTTGTGGAGCAGGTGGAGTTGATCCAGAAGGAGCAGGAGTACCAGAGGGTGAGGGGCTGAGTTGGGACAGTTGGGACAGGGGATGTGTAATCTCCTGGGAGGTGGCTCTTCCAGCTCTTCCCCCAGAGAGGGTGGGGGTAAAATTCAGTTCTTGACAGGCGTATTCTTCCTTCTCTCCTTCCACAGTGGCGAGAGGAGCGCTTCCGGCAGACCAGCGAGAGCACCAATCAGCGGGTGCTATGGTGGTCCATTCTGCAGACCCTCATCCTTGTAGCCACAGGTGTCTGGCAGATGCAGCACCTCAAGAGTTTCTTTAAAGCCAAGAAGCTGGTGTAGGTGGGCCCTGAAACCTAGCCCCAACTCATTCTCCTTCTCTTAACTGATGGAAAGTGGCCTGCCCTGGTCTGTTTCCTGGCTCCCAGTCCCCCAACCCTGCAGGGGTTCCTGGTACTGTCAGGGGGACAGAGGACTGCTTTGAACTGGTTTCTCAGCCAGCACTTGGGACAGGAGGGGTTTTCCGTACACACTTGGTTGGGGAGCTGCAGGATTCTTTGTGGCTCTGTGCTTCGGAGGAGAGTGAGGGTACCCCAACCCTCCCCCGCCCCCACCAAAACTGGATAGATGAACTAACCCAAGATGGAGAATTAAGAGTGAATATAAACTGCAAACTTTCTGACCTAAACATTTATTGCCTCCTGCTCTGCAATTCATTCTGGTGTTTTGTTTCTAACCAGATATTAACATGTGAGGCTCCTCATGCATTGGTGGGGACTGATCCCAAAATGAATGATGTGAAGAGTTTATACTCTGGAAAAAAAAAAAAAAAAAAGGAGTTTATACTCCGAAAGCCTTAGCAACCTGTGGAGCCCTTTCCAGAAAAGTCCAGTTTGGGCCCACCTCATGGGTAGCCTGAGTGCTGGTGGTGATCCTGTGCCTCTTTCTGGGCTCGGGTTCCTGTGCTATTTTACTCCAGTTACATGGACTGCTGGGTTCTTCCAGGAAGTCAGATGGGCACCTCTGTCTTCCTAGTATTTTTCAGGCAATCTGTCTCTCTCTTTGTGATGTCATAGGTTAATTTTTCCAGGAGATGCTTCTTTTTCTCTTTTTGAAAATAGGATTCCAAGTAACTGTTTCCATTATAGTCAGCATCTCCTCCTTCACAAGTGCACACAAGTGATGGCCAGACATCCATGTACCTACTGCATCTGCCTGATCTAGCCCACATTTTACTTCTGCTGGTTGCCCTGTTGGAATAGTCATTTCTCACGTGAATCTGACATTTTCTGTTATAAGGAAATTCACTGGTTGGCACCCTCGACAAAATTAAGTCCAAATCACCAAGGCCCAAGCTGTCAATAAAGGGAGACTCCCCATGAGGAGAGGGATGTCAGGACAGCTCCAGCACTTGGCCCTGGAGACAGATCGACCCTACCCTAAGATACGCTGGAGGAACACGGCCAAGTCTTGGAGATTTGCTCATTTGTGGGTGTGGTCATGACTGGCCTCTGGAAAGTATAAATGGACTGACCCGAAGGTTGGGGAGGGATGGGGGAACCACTGGAGAGTAACCTCAGACCAGAGTGTGTGATCTTAGCGCCCATTACCCTGACCTGAAGGGATGGGTGTGGGAGGGTACTCTGCTCTCTGCCACAGGAGAAGCAGAGTGACCCAGACAGGCACATTCTTGCACATGGAGCCTATGGTCTGATACTAAATGAGGCAGGGCTAGAACGACAGAAAAAGGTGAAGCATGCTTCTGAGAAGGGTATGCACTAAGAATGACATGATAAGAGCTCTGGCCTAGTCTAGATGGTCTGAGAAGGCTGCTTTTTAGAACTGCATTCATGATTAGTCGGAATTAGCTGGGGGAAGTGTGTTCTGGCCAGAGGGAATAGCACATGCAGGACTCCTAAGGCAAAAAAAGAATATGGCAATTTGGAGAAGCAAAAGAAGACTACAGTATTATGATCCTGACTCTAAGACCACAGAACAGATCCGGTGTTCGGTGGGAGTATGGGAGGTGAAAGCAAACCTGCCTTCAGAGCCATACTGCCCACCTAGCATGACCTACAGAGAAGGGGCTTCAGCAAGTGTTGGGGGGAGGGGGCGCTGGAAGGAAACAAATTCGGGCTCTCAGTGCCTCAAAAGCTGGCCAACAGAGCCTTAGGCATCTCACAATGCTAAAAGGTCCAGAGCTTGTCTGAGAACTTTCTGGGGCAGGAGTGAAGAGTCTGAGATGAAGCTGACACGTGACTGCTCTTGGGAGGGCTCTATTCAGAGCTCCTGCCGTGTCAATTCTTCTGGTGTGATTTATTTTTTAAAATGAAGGGTGACAACCAAATATTTGTTTTGCTTTATTCTAATATCCCTATTTATCGAAATTCAAAGCTACTCGTTCGTTTGGAAAGCACCCTGTTGGACGACCCCCTAAAGCCCATACGTCACAGGTCACAGCGTGAGAGTCACCACAATTCCTTGATGGCCAGCACCACAATGAAGGCACCAACCAGCCTACAAGGCAGGTGAGTTTCCACCTCACAGAGCAGGAGAAAAGGCTCCGGGCAGGTAAGGGGCTCGACCGAGCCCCGCAGCAGCCGGCAAGAAACCGAGAGGAGCCGCGAGTCCTGCGGCAGCCCAGGTGTGGCCTAGAGCGAAAACCCGGGATCTTCTCACCAACACCCCAAGTCTCTTCAGCAGTTTGGCGGCTGCCGCGAGGAGGAGCGGAAGTGCCAGCGGCCGCCGGCTCTGGCGCTCAAGTGCAGAGCGCAGGGCTCGGCGGGGCTGAGGGGCCGGCTCACCTTGTCCTCCGGGTCCTTCACCTCCACGAACATGCCCAGCCCGGGGGTGGCCGGCTGGTACTCCTCCCGCTGCTTGTCATACAGCTGCGTCCGGTAGTTTCCTGGAGGGGAGTGGGGCGGCCCGGGTCAGACGAGCGCGAGGCGGGGTGGAGTCGGCTCCCGGCGGACTCCCCGCGCCCCCCGCCCCAAGACCGACGAAGGTCTCGGTCCCAACTCTCCCTTCGGCCCGCACCTATAACCACGGTCTCGTCCGGAATCTCCTCAATAAAGCACTTCTTTCCGGCCTCCCCGGTGTGGAAGTAAAGCGCGCCTCCGCGGACCGCAAACACGTCCTTCCCACGCTCGCTCCGCATCCCCTCGGCCCCGGTCGCCAGGGCTGCGGGCGGCGGCACCACGTAAGCCGGACGCAGCCGCACGGCCTGCTGGGGCGGCGAGTCCCACCGCCCGGACTACGGGCCCGAGGTGCGGCAGCCGAGCGGTCCTGGGTACGGGAACCGCTTCCGCTCGCGAGGGAGTTGGAACTCCGGAATTAAGACCTTACTCCTGTTGATTGTCGTGGTGGCCGGAGAATGGTAGTGATGATCAGCCTTTTACAGATGCTGCAAGTAACGCCGTTTGTTTGTGGTCGCAGAGTGATTTATGAACAGGTGTAGGACTGACATAGAGGCTCCCTGACTTTTCCTCTGCATCTATGCATCCACACTCTGCGCTTGCTTCCATTTTTAAAATTCAGCTTTGAGGGGGCCTGGGTGGCTCCGTGGGTTAAGCGCCTGATCTTGATTTCGGCTCCCTCTTGATCTCGGAGGTCCTGAATTCGAGCCCCATGTTGGGCTCTAGTTGGATGTGGAGCCTAATTTAAAAAGCAAAAAATAGGGGTGCCTAGGCGGCTCAGTGGATTGATTAAGCATCCGACTCCTGATTTCTGCTCAGATCATGATCTCAGGGTCCTGGGATTGAGTCCTGCTCCAGCTGGCGGTTCCTAGTGGAGTCGGCTTTAGATTCCACGTGCCACTCCCCTTGCCCCTCTCCACCCTCCTCCCCCATTTCTCTCTGGCACACTCTCTCACTCTCTAGGATAAACAAATAATTTTTTTTTAAAGATTTCATTTATTTATTTGAGAGAGAGCGCACGCGAGAGCATAAGCAGGGGGAACAGCAGGCAGAGGGAGAGGGAGATGCAGGCTCCTGCTCAGCAGAGAGCCTAAGGAGTCGCTGGAAACCAGGACCTGAGCAGAAGGCAACTGCTTAACTGACTGAGCTACCCACGTACCCCAACAAATAAAAAAAATTTTCAAGCAAATAACAACACCCCCCCACTTGAACTTCAAAAAAATGACACAAATTGTGCACCAACTAATTTTGGAAAAAATTTTGAAAAAAAGCCTAGGAGACTCCCTTTACCACTTCTTTGCCTTCCAAAACCCAGCCACTCCTAAATCGGGTCATACAAGTTGGAGGTTTTCTAATGTGGGTTCTCTTTGTTGTTTTGTTTGGCCCTGGGGAGGGAATGAGGGAATTTAATGAGGATGTTTTGACATTTCCCCCTCATTGGAAGTCTTTATCTCATTTTTCTTAACAGTAGCAATATAATATCAGTTTGGTTCATACAGTACCTTATTTTAAAATTTTTATTTAAGGGACGCCGGGTGGCTCAGCGGTTAAACATCTGCCTTTGGCTCAGGGTGTGATCCCGGGGTCTGGGATTGGGTCCCTGCATCCGGCTCCCTGCAGGGAGCCTGCTTCTCCGTCTGCTTATATCTCTGCCTCTCTCTCTGTGTGTCTCTGATGAATAAGTAAATAAAATCTTTAAAATAAAATTTTTATTTAAATTCAATTAATTAACATATAATGTATTATTGTTTTCAGAGGTGGATGTCCCTGATTCATCATTCTTACATAATAGCCAGTGCTCATTACATCACGTGACCTCCTTAATGCCCATCACCCAGTTACCGCATCTCTCCACCTAACTCCCCTCCAACAATCCTCAGTTTGTTTCCGATGATTAAGAGTCTCTTGGGATGCCTTAAATGGCTCAGTGGTTTAGCCCCTGCCTTCCGCCCAGGGCATGATTCTGGAGCCTTGAGGTTGAGTCCGGCATCAGGCTCCTTGCACGGAGCCTGCTTCTTCCTCTGCCTGTGTCTCTATGTCTGTCCTGAATACATAGAAATAAAATTAAATTAAAAGAGTCTCTTAATGGTTTGTCTCTGATTTCCTCTTGTTTTATTTTTTCCTTTCTTTCTCTATGATCCCCTTAAATTCCACACGAGTGAGCTCATATGATAGTAGTCTTTCTCTGACTTATTTTGCTTAGCATAATACCCTCTAGTTCCATCCATGCCATTGCAAATGGCAAGGTTTCATTTTTTTTGATGGTTGAGTACTAGTCCATTGTATATACATATCACATCTTCTTTATCTATTCATCTGTTGATGGACCTCTGGGCTCTTTCCATGGTTTGGCTGTGGTGGATATTGCTGCTATGAATACTGGGGTGCGGGTACCCCTTTGGATCACTACATTTGTATCTCTGGGGTAAATACCCAGTAGTCCAATTGCTGGGTTGTAGGATAGCTGTATTTTCAACATTTTGAGGAAACTTCATACAGTTTTCCGGAGTGGCTGTACCAGCTTGCATTCTTACCAACAGTGTATGAGGGTTCCCCTTTTTCCACATCCTTGCCAGCATCTGTCGTTTCTTGACTTGTTCATTCTAGCCTTTCTGACGGGTGGGAGGTGATTTCTCATTGTGGTTTTGATTTGTGTTTCCCTGATGCTAAGTGGTGTAGAGCATTTTTTTTTTTGTGTTGGCCATTTGTATGTCTTCTTTGGAGAAAGGTCTGTTCATGTCTTCCACTCATTTATTGATTGGATTATTTGTTTGTTGGGTATTGAGTTTGATAAGTTCTCTCTTAAAAGAATTATTTGTTTATTTATTCATGAGAGATACACGGAGAGAGAGAGGCAGAGACACAGGCAAAGGGAGAAGCAGGCTCCATGCAGGGAGCCTGACACAGGACTTGGTCCCCGGACTCCAGAATCATGCCCTGGGCCGAAGGCAGGTGCCAAACTGCTAAGCCATCCAGGCATCCCTATAGTTGGTAAGTTCTTTATGGATTTTGGATACTAACCCTTTATCAAATATGTCATTTGCAAGTATCTTCTCCCATTCTGTAGGTTGCCTTTTGGTCATATAGTACCTTATTTTTTAATCATTCCTCTGATGAAAGTGGTTAAGATTTTTTTCCACTATTTTTTTTTTTTAGTGATTCATCAGTTTATTTTATTTTATTTTTAAAAATTTTTTAAAGATTTAAAAAATTTATTTATTCATGAGAGACAGAGAGAGAGAGAGGCAGAGACACAGGCAGAGGAAGAAGCAGGCTCCATGCAGGGAGCCTGACATGGGACTCGATCCCGGGTCTCCAGGATCACACCCTGGGCCGAAGGCAGCGCTAAACCGCTGAGCCACCTGGGCTGCCCTCCTCAGTTTATTTTAGAGAGAAAGAGCAGTCACATATGAGCACATGAGTGGAAGAAGGGCAGAAGAAGAGGAGAATCTCGGGCAGAGGAAGAAAAGAATCTCAAGCAGACTGCTGAGAGCAGAGCTGGTCACGGGGCTCAATTCCCCTACTCTGAGATTACAACCCGAGCCAGTGGTTTAACTGACTACACTACCCAGGCGCTCCCCCGCCCCCAATTATTTGCACTTACATATATTATTGCAATAAAAATTTGTGTTCATTTTATAAAAAAGCAGTACTGCAGGACATAGTTTTTTGATAAAAGATCATGAAATTGCCGTTTCAAATTTTGTACCAAGTACAGTTTTAGCAACATGTGTCATAGTGCTTAATTTCATGCTCTGGTCAAACACTAAACCTTTTTAATCTTTGCAAAACTAGTGGGTGAAAAGTTGTATTTCCTTTTGTTTTCTCTTTAGTTCCTTTCTTTCTTATCCTTTTAATTTATATTTCCTCAGATACTAATGTTTCTTCTTGGTCATTTGATTTCTTCTGTGAATTGATGGTTGTATTTTTCTTAGTGCTATTATAAAAACATGCTATGAATGCTGATGTAATTAGCAAATGATTGCAGAATTAATAAACGATAATATTTTATAATAATAGTTTGTAGTATTTTTAAAATTAAACTTTTATGTTGGAGATAAATTATAGGTTCACATCCATTTGTAAGAAACAATGCATAGGGATCCAGTGTACCCATTACTCAGGTAACCCCATGATAACATCTTGCCCAAGTATGATGCAATATCACAACCAGGATACTGACATTGATACAGTCAAGACACAAAACATTTCCATCACCACAGGTTCCTCATGTTGCATATTGAAGCCACACCCACTTCCGCTCTTCCTTCACCCTCTCCTTAACCTCATACAACAAGTAATCTGTATTCTCCATTTTTGCAATTTTGTCATTTCAAGAATGTTATGTAAGTAGAATTGGACAGTGTGCAACCTTTTGAGATTGGCTTTTTCATTGAATATAATCTTCTGGACATTTATTCAGCTTATTGCATGTTTCAATCACTTTTTTTTTTTAAGATTTTATTTATTTATTCATGAGAGACACACACAGAGAGAGGCAGAGACAGACAGAGAGAGAAGAAGGCCCCATGCAGGGAGCCTGACGTGGGATTCCATCCCGGGTCTCCAGGATCACGCCCTGGGCCGAAGGCAGTGCCAAACCGCTGAGCCACAAGGCTGCCCCAACTGCTTCTTTCATCAAAAGTAAAGAGTGTAAAGAGTGACCATTACACATAATGTACAAAGATATAATTCTGTGATATCCATAAATGAAAGGGTAAGAACAGAGCTTTTAAAGGAACAAAGTTTCTTGTTTTAAAGATTTTATTTATTTATCTATGAGAGAGACACACATACACACACAGAGGCAGAGACACAGGCAGAGGGAGAAGCAGGTTCCATGCAGGGAGCCCGATGTGGGATTCGATCCCCGGACCCCAGGTTCACACACCCTGGGCCAAAGGCAGGCGCTAAACCTCTGAGCCACTCAGGGATCCCCAGGAACAAAGTTTTTGAGTGTTGCTGGAGGTAAACTCGGCTAAATTCAAATTAGAGTGATACAGCTGTGATACAAATGCCATTCCAATGGTAACCACAAAGAAAATAGTGAGAGAATATACAAAAGGAAATGAGAAAGCAATTTAAATGTTTCATTACTACTAAAAAAATTAAACACGAAGAAGACAGAAAATGCAAGACATGAGGGACCAAAAAAAAAAAAAAAAAGCTGTAGAGCAAATAGAAAGCAAAATAGCAAAATGGCAAAAATAAATCCCTCCTTATCAGTAATTGCTTTAAACATAAGTGGATGAAGCTCTC